ATAAAAGAAAGATATAAATCAGAGAAAATTTGGTGTTAATGAGGTGCTGAGTTTAAATATCAGATGTTCTTTAACTTATACCGCAACGCAACACTTAAATTTGCGTTGCTGGTATAAAGTCCTACGAGCAACACAATTAAAATATTTAATAAAAGAAGGATATGAATCAGAGAAAATTAGGTGCTAATTAGGTTCTGAGTTTAAAAATTAGATGTTTTTTAACTTATACCGCAACGCAACACTTAAATTTGCGTTGCTGGCATAACGTCCTAAGAGCAACACAATTAAAATATTTAATAAAAGAAGGATATAAATCAGAGAAAATTAGGTGCTAATTAGGTGCTGAGTTTAAATGTTAGATGCTCTTTAAATTATACCGCAACGCAACACTTAAATTTGCTGGTATAAAGTCCTATGAGCAACATAATTAAAATATTTAATAAAAGAAGGATATAAATCAGAGAAAATTAGGTGCTAATTAGGTTCTGAGTTTAAATATTAGATGCTCTTTAAATTATACCGCAACGCAACACTTAAATTTGCGTTGCTGGCATAACGTCCTATGAGCAACACAATTAAAATATTTAATAAAAGAAAGATATAAATCAGAGAAAATTTGGTGTTAATGAGGTGCTGAGTTTAAATATCAGATGTTCTTTAACTTATACCGCAACGCAACACTTAAATTTGCGTTGCTGGTATAAAGTCCTACGAGCAACACAATTAAAATATTTAATAAAAGAAGGATATGAATCAGAGAAAATTAGGTGCTAATTAGGTTCTGAGTTTAAAAATTAGATGTTTTTTAACTTATACCGCAACGCAACACTTAAATTTGCGTTGCTGGCATAACGTCCTAAGAGCAACACAATTAAAATATTTAATAAAAGAAGGATATAAATCAGAGAAAATTAGGTGCTAATTAGGTGCTGAGTTTAAATGTTAGATGCTCTTTAAATTATACCGCAACGCAACACTTAAATTTGCTGGTATAAAGTCCTATGAGCAACATAATTAAAATATTTAATAAAAGAAGGATATAAATCAGAGAAAATTAGGTGCTAATTAGGTTCTGAGTTTAAATATTAGATGCTCTTTAAATTATACCGCAACGCAACACTTAAATTTGCGTTGCTGGCATAACGTCCTATGAGCAACACAATTAAAATATTTAATAAAAGAAGGATATAAATCAGAGAAAATTAGATGCTAATTAGGTTCTGAGTTTAAAAATTAAGTGCTCTTTATCTTATACCGCAACGCAACACTTAAATTTGCATTGGCATAACGTCCTATTAACAACGCAATTAAAATATTTAATAAAAGAAGGATATAAATCAGAGAAAATCAGGTGCTAATTAGGTGCTGAATTTAAAAATTAGGTGCTCTTTACCTTAATACCGCAACGCAACACTTAAATTTGCGTTGGCATAACGTCCTGCTAGCAACACAATTAAAATTTTAATAAAGATGTAATCAAGAGTAAGAAAAGTTAGGTACGACTAAAAAAAAACACGTAAGAAAGAAGATTCGAAAATAGCCTGATAATTAAGTGCTAGCAGGACGTTATGCCAGCAACGCAAATTTAAGTGTTACGTTGCGGTATAAGGTAAAGAGCACATAATTTTTAAACTCAGCACCTTATTAGCACCTGATTTTCTCTGATTTATATCCTTCTTTTATTGAATATTTTAATTGTGTTGCTACCATAACGTTATGCCAGCAACGCAAATTCGAGTGTTGCGTTGCCGTGTAAATTAAAGAGCGCCTAATTTTTAAACTTACCACCTAATTGACACCTAATTTTCTCTTATATATATCCGTTTAATTTCATTGCTAGCATGAAGTTATGCCAGAAATGTAAATTTGAGTGTTGCGTTGCGGTGAAAGTTAAAGAACATCTAATTTGTAAACTCAGCACTTCATTAGCAACTAAAAACCAACTAATTTTGGCATTTTTTTAAATGCGATTTCCTGACTTTCCGTTTCTAGGGGGTCAGAGTTCTTATAGTGTATTTAGTTACTAATTTTCATAAATTTGCTCATTTAGTGTTCAAAAATCACAACTACACAGATTAATATCACTTACTTACCATTTACAGAATTCAACTTATAAACATGCTCAGATGTTTGATGAGATTGATGATAATAAGAATGACTAAACGTTGCACCAAAAATACTACCCTGAAATTGAAAGGGTAGAATAAATATGAACTCCAATAAAATAAATATATGCGGTAAGATCTGTTACTTATTATCTTCTTATCTGTTATTTCTGTGCTTAATAACAATTCGAAAGCAGAGGTCTTGGCATTTTACGTTCATTAAAAATGAGTGCGGATTGATTGGCCGCACGGTTAACGTAACGTAACAATAATATTGTAAAATAAAAAATACTTTATGTACGTATGTATGTCCAAAAAAGTTGAATTAATTAAGGGTCATTAAAACAAGCCATTAAAGACACGCAGATGGACATGTAGTAAGAATTGATTTTAAATTAACATTTAATATCTAAACAATATCGCAAATGAAATTTGAGTAACGCTAATTGTAAGTATATGGACTTAACACCTAACTCGTTCACACCCTTCTTGTAATTATATGCATCGCCTAATTGATCACTTATAATAGACGCCTTTAATTAGTATTAGTTTAATTTCGGAATAGACGTAAAACAAAATGTTGTGATAGTGACATTTAATACGGGACACCCTGTATTTTATATTTATAACGATGTGGCAAATGCACTTTATTATATAAAACATCCCGCTTGCAAAGAAATATTGTAAGGTGTTTCGTCAATTTCGTTAATGACCGAATGTCTTGTGTAAATAGAGGCGCGTGCATCAACCCCTTACCTTTAAATTTCCCACTGGAAATGTCCGAAGAAACCGGTAAGGAGGGTAAAAATTGACCTTATATTAACCGCATGAACGAGGTATAAAATTAGTTTTGCTATAAAAATAAGAAAAAATAAATAAAACTGTCAAAATTGTTTACAAATAATATAGATACCAACAGAGTATGGGTAGGTTAAGGAGTAATTCAATAAAAAGGAATTATTGCTTTGAATTGAATTGTTCAGTGGAGTTTTTAATTTAATAATTATTAAATTAGACACTTAAATGATGTTAAATTGTTATATTAATTAAAAATATTCAATATTTTAATGGTGCGATGAAGTTTTTTACGCTCTTTATCCTTCTCTACTTAAAATATCTGGCTGTTTGTCCAACGTCTTTATTTTTGTGCTATTACTGTTAAAAGTCGTTTATATTCAGTATTGTTGTTATGAGATATGAACATCAAAAACAAAATTAAAATTTCTTAAAACATTGCTTAGCTATTTTCTAATTAATTTTCTGTAATTTAATAGTTGGAGTGTGATGGTTCTTGTGGTGTTTTTATTAATTTTTTTGGGACTTTTGTATATATATATAAGACGTTCTATTGAATTTCAGTGTTTGTCGTAAAATATGAGCACTCATTTTTCAAAACAATTTACCCGAGGGTCTTTTCACGTACGCACATTCGCGTATTGTTGTATTAATGTCGTGTTACAATGTATAAAGCAAATGTAAGCGTTAATAAAATTAAAAGGTTCCTTGTGTCAATAGTATTTGGTAAAGCAGAACAAAATTAATCTTTCTCGTTTTCTTGAAAACGCGTCTTTTTAAAAGTCGCACAGGAAGTCGCACTATTGTCAAATGAAAGTGACATCGAAGGTGGCGTTTTCTCTTTGTTTCTTTGCCTTTTGATAGAATTAACAAAGAGTGCCGCAATATCACGTTGCACTAAATGAATAAGTCCCTGCCCACTGCGATATTACGGTGTAAAACGAACCCTTCTGTCTACAACCGCATATATTTGATACCATTTAGCAAATTGGACAATAATTGGTTATTTTTTCTTACAATAGTCGAAGCAATGTGCTTTTCTGTCAGATATTTAATATTCATTTTATTTTTAGGGCTTTATCTATAGGGCATAGATAATACATTAACTAAACAAACTTTGTTGATATTCTTTTAATTTATTTACAAATTATCTATGTTTCAATCTTTTATATTGCTTGAAGGCTCATTTGATGGATAATATAATTTATTGTTAGTAAAAGTGTTCATAACTGCAATGCTTTAGCCTGAACCAAACTATTTAATATATATGTGAAAATTTGGAATGCTTTTCAGCTAGCAAAATGACAATCCTGTTGAAAAATTTTAGTTGAAACAAAAAGTCCGATAGGTTTTAATATGTAAAGTGTATCTACATCTAGATGAATAATATAGTATTTAAATTCGAGTATGTATTAAACATGAGATTGTCTGCAATTAAAGAAAAATTTTTATACTGATCATGAAGTCATAGTTTATTGAATATCCTTGTAAGCTTGTGATTGAAGTCGCAGGATATTGTAATAAGGATGTTTGATGCAGACGTAAAAAAATCATCGCTAGACAGATAGAAAATTAAATAACGTCAAAATTGAAAATTGTCTTATTTCCTCATTAAAAGGTGAAGCAGTCTGATGGGGACGGGGTTGATGCGCTGCTGCTTATGGATTTTTGATTTTAGAAAAGTCAATTGAAAGGAAATGACTGTTCTTAACGAGTAAAGAAAGCATATAGACTTGGGTTAAGCATATCAAACATTAGGTTTTTATATATATTTTTTTTATTTTGAACAGCTAAGAACTTTTCGTTTGAATTTCTAATAATTTTGAATACGAAATGTGCTTAGTAGTTTAAGTTAATATGTACAATTGATTGTTAACTATTTTTTAGAAATTTCAAGAAAAAAATGAATGAAGTTACAAGAACACAATATTTTGATTATTTATTTTTCATACAAAATCATTTAGAAGCGTTCGAAATGTGGTGTTATAGGCGGATGATGAGGATATCGTGGGTAGAAAAGGTTAGAAATGAAGAGGTATTGGAAATAATAGGAGAACAGAGGACTCTATGGAAGACAATAAAAAATAGGCGAGATAGGTTGGTAGGACACCTTCTCAGGCATGAAGGTCTAGTCAGAGACATATTAGAGGCAGAAACAGGAGTTAGGAGGGGTAGAGGTAGGCCTAGATTAGATTACTCCTCGCAAATAGTTAAGGATGTGGGCTGTTCTAGTTTTAGGGAAATACGAAGATTAGCTCAGGATAGGAAAGTGTGGAGTTGCGTGTCCAACCAGTCTTAGGACTGATGACCTTATGATGATGATAAAATAAGTCTTCTACACATTCTTTATTTGTTCAGTTATACCTTTAGAGTCTATATATCTCAAAACATTCAACAAGGAAAATAAAATACTGTACTGTTTATTCTGGAAAAATTAGAAATAGCATCAAAATCAGAAACTGCAATATAAAATAATTATTAGCCTCTAGCTATCAGCTTTCAATCGAAATCCTTTATGATGAAGGTACCTACCTACGGGTCAAGTTTCATTACTTTTTTAGTATCAATTTTGTGGTACTCTTAGTGAAAAAGAAACATAACACTTCTAATTTGAGAAGTACATAAAGCGATGCCAATGAGACCAATTCGTAAAGCCTTTACAAGAAACAATTCTCTTTGAAGGAAACGTAAATAAATTAAACCGTGATCGTAAGGCCGTTTGAGATTATTATGGGACCGTCTAATACTACTTTATTAGAAAAGTTTGGATTTTAATTACTACATTTATGAGGAACTGTGATTTTTTTGTGTACCCATAAAGGACATTGCCTTCAATAACTATAAATTTGTTGTTCATCTACATCACTTTAATCTTTTGATGATTAAAATTCTGGTACCAAACTTATTATATGTCATTTGAAACGTTAACGTTTTACGGTTTAGAGGAAACAAATGAAATTAGTTTCAAAATGGTTTACAATACTTTTAATAGTAATCCAATTTATTTTAAATGACACACAAGATTATTTACGTAGGTGAATTTTAAGCTAAGGGAAAAACACTCACAAGTTTTGTTAGTTGTGTACCGGATGTAGGGACCTGTTGATCTTCGGTCATTCCTTGATTTTTGTTAATGATGCACAGGCATAGTCTTACAAAGCAAAATAATAAATATCACGACAATATCACATTGATTGATTTCGATACCTTCCAAACTTATGCACTTTAGAAGCTTTAGATTCGCTGATAACGGAAGCCGAAGGTAAAAGTCGCAAACGATATCTTATCAGGAAGATCCCTAAGGAAGGTATGACGCAGGAGTCTGTTTCACCTTCGCATCGACATCGGAATACCGTCCCACCCCATTTGAAGGGGCACGCCTACCTGTTTTCATTTTTCGCTGATTAAATTGTAAAATTATCAGAAATGACGAATCGACTAGGTACTGGAATTAAAATTCGTAGTCAAAACAACTATTTTATTCCATAAATGGTAATGGACTTTAAATATCGCATCTAAAATTTTGGATATAAATAATAAACTTTATTAATAAAATCATTCAATCCAAAGTTTTAAAGAATTGTTACTCTTCAAGTACTTAATCAAAGTTATGAATTCGAGAAAGATATTGATATGTTTTCACTCAAAGTTCTTTAATACTTTTTCAGTAAGTGATGGCTCAATTAAGAAACTGATAGTTTTGTTTATTAAAACAGTCCTTCTAAACCAATATTTTTTTAAAAATTTTGAAAATTTAAATATCAAAATGAGAAGCAAGTAAAAAAGTTTTCGGTCTAAAATGGTGGAGGCGCCTAGCTGCTTTCGTTTCTTAACTTTTCAATTAATTTTTTGAATATGCTTTCTTTTTCACTCCTTTGTTTAGTTAGTACCACTAAAAAGTCAGGTAACTTACGTTCAATACAATTTGTTTAGGATGAGCAAATTTTGGAAAGACTGAAACGAACAATTTAAATAAAAAAAATAATTCTTGCTCAGTTTTCTTCAATTGTGAACAATTTCATCGCATTTTGGTACATACAAATTTGAGTTTTGACAACTGCTAAGGGTAGAAAAATAAGGTAAATTATTTTAGTAAATGGACAACGGTTTAACGAAGGGTGCCAGTAGACGATATTAATTATGCAAACTTGAAGAGATTGTTTATAAAGTAGAAGGCGTGGTTTCGTGTCATTGGTAGCGAAGGACCCCTGCTGGCCAATCGTACTTCCGGTTACCTTATCGACGAGCCGCGCATGGCGCTTCTCTTCGACCCATCCGCCGCTATTTTGCATATTTTATTATTGCATTTTATATGTACCTATACGTATTTCCTACCTATTTGTAGGTAGACCCAAAGACCCTACGATATGCTGCACTATCATCTATCAACAAGGATATTAATTCTCTTTCATGAAACAGCAAAACCATTACAGATTTTTGAAACACAAAAGGTCTGATAAACAGTTATAGATTTCATTTTATCAGGGACGAATTGTTTCATCATATAATATACAATTTTAGTCAGTGGCTTAATCTGGTCATTCTTGTTATCAGCATTTCTTAACATCCGTCCAAGGATAATAACGCAATTGTTGCGAAAGGCATTTATTTCAATTCAGTTTATTATGGAACTTTTCCTTTCCATTGCAGAGGCGCAAAAAAGACAATCAATTTGAATGCTTTAAAGTTCATGTCAAATACCTTCTGCTGGAATCGCAGCCTCAGCCGATGATACTGTGGAGGTAGTTTTTTATTCTACGAAGTACCGAAAATTGTCCCTTCGTGCAGTTAGGCCCAAGCATACGTAAAAATATTCGCAATGCGATACTGATAAGCGGATGCATATCGATGTCTTTCCGTTAATTTTTTTCAGTTAAGTACAGGGCTGTGCTAGGAGCCACATTTACAATCTCTAGGAATCCCCGACATTGTAGATAATACTCATATAAGAAATTAGCTAGATCAACAGGTAAATTTGTATAATTGAGGCTCTACACTAAAGCTCGCAACACCACTTAAAGTTCGTTGGTACGTGGTCTGTATTTACCGTTATGTTTTATATTAAAGTGAAGAGATATTTGCTATCCAGCCCATACGTAAATATACCATTTTGAGACTTTAGTTACCTGGGTTTCAAGCGCGACAAAGGTTATTTCCAACATCTTTTTGGCTGTTGAAAATTTGAAAACCTTGAAAACTTTACAAACTCACTAATGTAGTTCCACAAAACAATATAAGTATATAATTTGAAAGGAATTACCACTGCTCGAAAAATTTGGTAACTGTCCTTCAAAACGGTACCTATTTATATAGCTTTAAAAGTTGATAAAGTTATGTCCCTTCTTTCCTCAGTTAAATGTTTATAATCCGAAATATCTTCGACTATGAATTTTAATTTGAAAAATCGAAATCAATTCAGTCAAAATTATATTTAGGTACCTTTACTTTACCCTTACTTTTTACATTCAGTTTTTGTTTTGATAAATAAATAATTAAGAATGAAATTTGTATTTAATATTAATAATTTTGTTTTCAGATAAATTCTAAGGAATGGAGGATGAAAGGAGATACAAGTTTTGTAAGTAATTAAAAGTATTTTTATATTCCTGTCTATAGTTGTAGTTCCTAATTTTATGGACACCCTATATAATAGCATATCGATACCTCACGCTTTGATTGGCCTTTTGTAATTTATATATTTTATGCTAAGCACCCTGTGTATACATACACTTATCTTTACTCGGTTTTTTATATAAATATTAGCTGATTTTCGCGGTTTTGCCCGCTTGCGATGAGGCAGAAGTAGAAATATCCTCCCTTTCGCACGCATGCGCAACGCATAGCTTGACCTCAGTCGCAAGAGGACATGCATAGTAGAGGCCATTAAGGCCATCTTTGTCTGCTACGCGTATGAAAACTATGTTAACTTGATACTGAATAGAAAATGTGATAATTTTTATTCCAGAAAGACTAAACTTTTGAGGAATAAAACAAAACATTCAATCAAAATCCACCCAATATCTTTTGTGGTATGTGCGCACATCAACGGACATTTTTACTTTATTACTACAGAAGATAACTTTTTATTTCTTATCATAGGGAATATAGGTTGATCGAATATATTGATACCAACAAACGAATAAGTTAAAAAAAAATTATGCACTCTCTAATGAGAAATCAAAGTTAATACAAAATAACAAAATTTCCAAAGTGGGATTACTATACTTTATGTTTAAACAACGATTTACGTTTCCTTTTTTCTTTTAATGCAAACAAACAACACACAATTTATTCAACATTTATTTTTCAGTACTGTTAGTGCTGACTTATAATTAATTATTAATTTTATTTATTTCTCCTTCTTAGCTGCCTTTTTTTTCGAACTGGGCTTTACACTGCTCTTCTTATTAACTAAAAGGGCTGCAATTAATCCAATAACAAAAGTCATACCACCAAATTGCCAAACCCACGGATTTTCTTTTAAATAAACCACTATTGCAGCAATAAGGTCATCACTAAAACAATAAATACAAAATTATTTTCCTTTAAGTTGAAATAGTTTCAAAAGCCACTTACAAAGGTGATTTAGGAACTGGCACTTTCTCAGCCCGAATATTTTTGTAAAATTCAGTTGCAAAAGATACTAACGATTTAACATCATAATTTCTTATTTCGTATCGATACATTTTCCCTTGTCTAAATCTATAAAAAAGATAAATAATGAAAGTAATGAAATAACCAATACACATCAAGAAAATATTAAACCTTACAGGATAAATGCGGGCACATCAAATACATCAAATCGGCGTCCTGTTGCTGCTCCTGTAGATCCCCTATTAACTCGAGCAATATTCATTCTAGTTTTTAAATGTGCTCCTACAGCTTCCCACCTTGCTTGTAAACGCTGGCAATCTACACATTCATTTGTGTAACTTAAAACCAAAGGAAAATAGTCACAAATAATATATTCATTCAACTTATTCACATACTTACAACATTACAAACCAATCCCCTGTTGTAGCTCCTGTTGCAGCTTGTGTTAAGTGTTCAAACGTTTCATCTGTTAACTCTTTTGCAAGTGGTTCTTTATTGTTTGTAAACGTGTGTAATATCATTTCATCATTAACAGGTCCTTTAATTTGAATAAAGCTAGTGTAAGACTAGAAATTTATGTCATTATTCTTACCATCATATAGAAGAGGTATTCCATGTCGAAAGAAGACAATGACGGGCTCCTTAGAAGGACTGTATAATCTTATAAGTTGACTGTTTTCTATCTTTACAACCCAGGCACCAAGAGCATCAACAAGATCTTCTCTAGTAGATATTAGCTCATTTTCAAATTTGTTGCACTCTTCACAATGGGGCTTTGCTAAACAAAAATACACTCAATATAATCACATTTGGGACAAGTGTAGTTGTTACAACTTACAAAACAAAACAACAACATACTTTTCGCTTCGTATTAAATTTAATAGTTCTTCTTCGGTAACTAGCTCCAATTTTTCCGAAGCTTTACTAAATAATATCATACAGAAAATAATCACAGAAGAAAATTGTCCAAATTTACCTTGGCGCATGGCAGTTGATATTATTAATTTATAATTATAAATAAAATTTCATTTAATGTATAAAAAAAACTGTTAAATGTTGTGCATGTAAACAAAAGTTACACACGTTTGGTTATGTTAACCTAAAACTTTCAGAAGTGGCTAACGTAGCAGCAACGACTGAAAGAGAATAGGATAGTGGTTACACAATCTCGTAATCAAATTTGCTATACAGGGTGCTCTACAAATACTCATTTATATTTACAAAACAATTGTTAATCTCACTTTTTGGTAGGGTATACCAGTCGATATCTTTTATAATAATAAATGTACACCATTATAAAACACAGTTTATTTGATAAAGAACATACTTATATAAGTAGGTACAAACGATGTGAAGACAGTATCAACGAAGTAAATTGACAGAGAACATATATAAACATGAAATTTGTTCATAATTTATTTTATCTACTGGTTTTTTAAAAGCCAAGACTGTTTTATTGTGTATCCGATCAATCAAAGATGTTTGCTAAAATAATGCACCTAAGGTGCACAATAACTCCAAAATTAGGAATTAAACACTGATTTAATTATCCAGACAACTAAATTATCACGCTAAAAAACTAATTAATTAGCAGTACGGTATTTTCGCAATTTTTTCAACAGGGTGGCTTCTAGTGAGAATGTTTCAACTCAATCTAAAATTTATTACAGACAGTTTTTGGAAATCTTTTTTGAAATGAACTGCGGCTTAAAATGTCACATGTGAATATTTTTGCTGAAGACTTTAGTTACCCAAAAAGATATATAGGTCAAAGAATTACTAAAATAAAGTCAATTAAAATTTGAGTCAAAATGAAACTGAGATTTTGGCCTTATAATTCTGATAGTTTCATTAGAATGGGTCAAATTCGCAATTTGTTGTGACTAACTTTAATTAATCACTAATTAATTAATTGAGCCAATCAATTATTATTGCACTTCATTAATTAACGAATTGCACCGTATTTTATACTATTGCGTTCACTTACATTTTAAAATTGTTAATTTTTTGTTAATATGACCTATCATATAGAATAAGTAGGTCTGTTTTAATTAATGATATTGGTACGTGATAATATGATATAGAAACAGTAACAAAAATAACATTCCGTATAAAGTATATAAAAAGCAATAATATAGTAGATGATCACGAAAACAACAACCGATTTTTTATTTTTAGTTATTTTCTTTTTAACTTAACACTTTTGACACTCATTTCAATCTCTGGGTTACATTTGCTAATGCCACGGCGAAAGCTTGCAGGGCCGAAAATGGGTACTGAAAGTCCAAAGTGTACGCGTTACCATCTATTCTTCCAAACTGCATTACCTTTGAAAAAAAGGAATGTCATAGTAATCAGTTATATAGAATATTTTAAGAAATAGAACACAAAAGTGGAGAAGTCTTAAAATGGCGATACTTTTTAAAATCATTCGCAAAGGTCTCTTCCTTTTTGCTTCTGTCTGATACTATAATACTTTTTGGAATACGTTTTTTCTATTTTAATACATACTTGTTTCCCTCTGAATTCAATTTGAAAATTTTTGGCAGATTCTTGCGTTACTCTCCCTCCAAAATCCAACTGGTACACTTGACTGTTCTCATTCCACATTGGTGCCTTGTTGTGCATTACAAACTCCCTTCTCTGGTTGGTGGTTTGGTTGTTACAGTTAGTACCGTTAGGTTCTATTTTCGCTCTCTTCAACTAAAATTTGTCACTTGTTCATAAAATGGGAACAGTTTCGAATTCATCCTACCTTTTGTCGTAACTGAGCCTTCTGAAACGTTTCCAAATCTTTATAATTCGAACCGTTACAAATCTCGTCTCCAGATGCTGTTATTTCATCGTCAGAACTGTCTAAATTTTTGTTCTTACGATATTTTCTATTGAGTAAAGGCGATGATAGGATGTGCTTTCTGATTGGGGAAGATGATTGAGGACGTTTTCCTAAAATCGAATAAGTAACAAAAAAAAAAAATAAAACGTGTGGAACCGAGTATATACGCACAATATAAGCGAAACTTCTTTAGTCGTAGAAATCTGGAATGGTATTTCTAGTTAAATTAAACAGTTACGTGATTTTTTCACAATAATCCTGTCATGCCGCGTAAAAAGAAGTTTCACCACAATAATTTATATACTTAAGGAATTTTTCACATTGAGCCATACTTTGAGGGTATCAGAGATATCAGTGTGAATAACCTATAAAAATATTGTGTACCTACCTTTTTTGCTTGGAGCCGGCGATGATGGGGAGCTCCTTGGCAGTTTAGGTGAATTAGGGGGTGTTAGCCTATCATCATCTCTCAGTCTTGTTATTAAATTTTCTAAAGTACTTAGCGCGTGACTATGAAACGAAAAGTTTCCTCTAGATGTGCCTTCTGAGGACTCAGTGATCTGATTGGCGTTGCCCTTTGACGGCATTTTGTAGTTTTCATGTTTATATTTACTTCTGCCTCTGCTCCTGACATCGTCAGCCGTAGCAATGTTGTCGCTTTCGTTCTTTTTCCTCCTCGCCAGCGGTGATTTGGATGAGAAGAAACCCCGTTTTGTCGGTTCCCGTTTAGGATTGTCGTTGGATTCAATAGGGTCGGCTTCTTTGCCTTTTTTAATGGCTTTTGAACCAGGTGACGTGATATTAGGTTCGCATTCTTGTACTTCTTGGTGACTGGGCATATTTTTGAAATTGGGTGGATCCCTGTTAGGAAATATATCAGTCGAGTCTAAACTTTTCGATTTTCTGCTATTTTGAAGTCTCGAAGCGTTCATCGCATTTGATTTGCTGTCTTGTAGATGTTTTCGACTTTGTTTCCTTTGTTTCGTCCTTTGGTTGACCAGAATGAGTCTTTTGGGGGCATCTTTTCGTAACATTTGCAAAGCCACTTCGTTTGGTACCAGATGGGGATCGACCATATCGAGATAGCCCACGCTACAGCTTCTGACCATTGCCTCAGAAAGCGCGACGGACGCTGCTATCGATCTTGAAGAAGTATTCGGATGAATGTCATCATTCAGTTTTTCGTCGTTCTTTAATGAATTTTTTCTGAAATGCACGGATAAGTCCTTCTGGTCGAGTTGCTTCTGGGGACCTTTGCTGTTGGTATCATTCTCTGCACAATCAGGTCCTGTATCATCTCCTGTTTGTTCTTTTTTTAAATAAAATAGTTTGCGTTGATCGCTGTTGTTAACTGTGAGATTAAGATGCAATCCGCTGCGAGCCCTTTCGCTATGGATTATATCAGCTTTGATATTTTGAACATTGGTGGTATTGAAGGAATAATCCGTGTTGGAGAATGTTATCATGGTTTGTGCTGGAGGTCGATCGAAAATAATGTCACTCGGGGCAACTGCGTTTTTTGGAGATTGAAGAGCAGGCACTGAGCCTTCACAACAAAGTGGAGAGACCGCGTGCCTTTGACCTGGAGGGTTTGACGAGCCGCTTCTACCATACTGACCCATAAAACTAGTACTTTGTACATTACCACTTGCTCTAGGTTGTACTGTAACTGGACCGTTTAGACACTGAGGACGGATAGCTTCATGATGAATAGGAGGCGGTTGACTTGATGATGATGATTCACCTTCACAGGATTCCATCTTCGATAATACTGCTGTTGGGCTACTGCAGGCAGTTTCCGATAACTGGGTTTTTAGTTGGGAAGTCGCTCTCTTGAGTTTGCTGCATCTGGGGGACATAGGAGCTATGGGGGGACAGTTATCTACACCTTTGTTCATTTTGAGCCTCTCTTCTAAATGAGCCAGGTCTTCTTCGTCTTCCGAGAAAATATTGGGGTTAAAAGTTGGGTCGGGACCTTTTGGAAAATCGTCGCGCAATTCAGTCATAACCAGGGTCATTTGGCGCGGTTGTAAATGAAGTAGTGAGGTTTTGTATGTTACTTGACCTAAATTGGCAGGCACGGAATCAACAAGACCATGAATTTTGAACTTTGTTCCCCATATATTGGACGTAACTTCAACAAGACGGACGTGCTGAAAAAAGAATTAAAATCGAATCGAATTGTTTCTGCAAAGGTCTCCTTGGTATTTACGGTTTTACCTCTGGTAGAGTGTCGACATATGCCAACTCTTCTCCTTCGGCATCTCCAGAATTTTGACCTGCAGTTTTATCGTTTTGAGATCTTCCTCGGGACTTGCTTCTTTTTCCTCTACGCCTTTGCATCCTTGGAGATGCTGCACAACCTTCTTCCCGATCACTGTCTGACGATTCGCTGTTCATGCGACTGTGGTTGTTCGAAGGATTGGATGATCCTGAACTTTTTGATTCGGGTGACAAAATTTGTACTCCAAAATCTAAGACAACACCATTAACGATTGTCCTATTACTTTTTTTTAAACGGTATTTTAAACTTAATTTCTTTAATTTATATTTTGAATTCATCCCGCGACAGATACGAATAATACACATTGGAGTTTAATAGCTTTTAAAAGATTGAGATCAAGTTAAAAGTAACCGATACAGAAACAAAAATTTGATGTCATTTCTTGCTTTAAAAATTCCTCTACAGAAAGTCTCTATCTTGGTTTATCTTACCATTAATGCTTTGTAAACGGTGATATTAATGGATTCATAAAAAATTGGATACAATTGTTAGGATGATATCTTAAAATAAAAGAGAATAAGCCGGATTTTCTAACCTTCAACCTGAGGATCAAATATCACAAATTCTGGTCTAATTTTGCTTGTTTTCTTCCCCTTGAGTAAAGGTACAAGTCCGCCCAGGTATTCCAGGTAAAGCGTGTAACAAGTCCCTGAAGTTAAATTCGTTTCGTCGTCATGACGAATCATGGTACAGTGCAATCTCACAGATGACCCAGATGGGGGTTTTGACACAAACTCCCTGAGGGCATTCGCCTCTGGTACAGAACTCTGGCAAAGATGAGAAATTTTATTTTTTTAAATCAAATTGGTAAAAATCCAAAATAAACTTTAAGAACGACATCGTGGAATAATTACCCGAATTGTTTGAGAAAATAGACCAGATATTGTGTTCCTAATTCTTGGTGGAAGGGGTAGTTGTGGTAGTTGACATTCGTGACGAAGAGCATTATGAATACACAGGCGGCAGAAAAGTTGGAGGGTAGCTATTCTTCTGGATACCCAGGCAATATGAATCTGAGTTCCTGTTGCCAGGAATATTCTTTTATCGTTATGTCCCCAAGTAAGGGCTGATACTGGCGCCTACAAGGGAAATAGTTGTAATAAAACTTAGTAAAATAGGAAGTGATCAAAATTCAAATAGCTCGTGTGTTTTTTCTTGTTGAAAACTACAGTAGAAGCCGCTTATAATAACATCGAAGGGAAATGACAAACACGTCATACTAAGCGGTAGTCATACAAAGCATAGTCTTAGAAAATAAACAACTTTCTATTTTGGTTAGTTATTTAGCGCAATTGAGAGAAAAATTACAAATTCTATATATTTATTAACAGAAAAAGAAACAGAACGATGAATTATAATATCAATATACTTCAGAAGGGTCAAAAAAATGAGCGAAAATGTTATTATTAATCATTTGGGTCACTATAGCCGGATATGATTTCTTGATAATTATTCATAATAAATGTCATTTTAAACGAAGTCATTATATCCAAACTTCCCTATAGAGAATTTACTATGTAAACCAAAGTTAACACTGCAATTACTTCATATTAAACGAATTCCACTGTATCGTGGATGTTTTAGAATCAAGCTTTTATTTTGAGAGCGATTTTTCAGATATATAGCAATAGTCACGATCCAAGAATTGCGATTTGTTATGAATAGGATTTACATTCTGTTATTGATATATGGTGGGTTTGTGTCCCCGGGGTTGGACAAATCCGAATTGGATGACAAATATTTACGTTCGATACTTGTCGAACTTTTGTTACGAAATGGCAGTGGTGGTGGTGCTTGTGCGTAATTTATTAAAATGGCTCGCTGAGTAGCCGTGGACAATAGATAGGGATTTATTTCGTACGCGGAAGTACATTTGCCCCGGGGGACCCCTAACTAATGGTGCCGATGCGTTACGAATATACGTATTTAGAGTGGGGTTGTTATTGTCCCAAATTAATGCGACGCTACGCATATCCAGGGGGATGCGTTGCCAACGTGATAAATTGCCGGAAATGCTTAGACAGACGAAACAGGAAATAAGAAGCAGAAACAAAAATCTGAATCAGTACATATATACCAATACTAAAAAAAGTAGTTGGGAAACTGTTCTAGATGACTTATTTAACTATTTAAATAACTTATTTCTGTTTTGATATATTGAACAGAGACAAATATTTTAATAGATGATTATTCGAGTAGAATTATACGGCTTGTGTTGAAAAGATACATTTTGAAATGAACCAATTCCATCAAGCATTCTAATCCTTTCGTTAATTTGTGTGGGCAATTTTGTTCTAATTAATTAATTGTGTTTCAAGTATCCTACAATAGGAAAAGCTCTAAAGGTAATTTGAATTTATGAGATCGCTCTGAAGCATAATAAACTAAATTGGAATTCTGAAGGTCGTGGGCTCCTTCTTAATACATTATTTAGTAATGATTTTCTAAACTTATAATTTACAATTATTCACTGTGTCAACTCCAAAGAGAAATGATAGGCCAAGCTATAGAACACCGAAAATACGAAATGAATAAATTCATGAATATTTAAAAAGGACATAAAATGGTGTATTTGTGGACCTATTTGAACAATTCGTTTTTGCAATTTGGAATAGAATAAAGGGTAAAGGTCTAGATCAGTGATTCCCAACCGGTGGTTCCCGAAACCTTGAGGGTTCGTAGTGTTTGCAGAGGGGGTTCGCGAAAATAATATTGTAATGGCGAATTTTTTAAAACGCCATTAAAATCAAAAGCAAAGCAAAAACACAAAAATTAAAGAACACACCCACTGTAAAACAGATTGTTCGCTGCCTGTTTGTTAAGAAATCCATAATAAATTTCAATATTTTCATTTCTTTTTTCCTTATTTGTTTTTCAAAATTACTTCATCAATATCAAATTATATCTACAATTTTATACATTAAAATTTATTCCTCTTATTCAAGTAATCAAATATTATTCTCTTTTTATTACAAACATTTATTTATATTTAAAACATTTTATCAATGTGATTAGTATCATGTTCTGCTTTATATTTAAAATCATTGCAGTAGACAAATTTTCTCGGACCTTTCTTTTGGTTCGCGAGGAAAAAAAGGTTGGGAAACACTGGTCTAGATGATGGCCCCCACCACCGAAAGGGAGGGATCGAAAGAGGGGGTCTCCCCCACCACTGTACCATAAAAAGTTCGTGGCGGTCTCACCCCATAAGAAGTTATAGGGGTTCAAAATTAATAAGTGTGACAATTTTTATACGTTTCTAGGCATGTAAATATTTATACAGTCTTTCCTAAACAATATTCAAAGGTAAAACTAATGGAAAAATTATTTAAATATCTTTAGCAATAGGGCAGATTAGGTTAGGTTAGGTTAGGTTAGGTTGTCGGGTTTTGTTCAAGTGACCACCCTCTTTCGATCCTCCACCTCCACCCGCTCGAAAATATTTTTTTTTATTGAATTTTATTTGAATTATAGTGTACGAAAATTGTCAAAATAATCAACTTTCAACCCGCATAAATTTTTATGGGGGTGAGACCGCCACGACCTTTTTATGGTACAGTGGTGGGGGAGACCTCCTCTTTGGGTCCTACCCACCCCCACCACCCTTCGGGGGTGGGGGCCATCATCTAGACATCTATCGAATAAGGAATTGTAAAAGGAATCATACGAATTTACAGTTAATATTTAATTAATTAAAATGTATATGTACATATGTTTAAGTTTCTCACAACTACTTCGATTTTGAGCTTCCTGAATAAAATATTTAACCACTATCTTCTTAACTTTCTACAAATTTTAGTTGTGAATAAGAATTTTTGATTTGATTTCAAGTTTGTAAGTCAATGCATTTTTGCGAAAAAGAAAAATGGATAAATAAGATAAACGGTCTTGGTTAAATGTCAAAATTATTTTTTTTTTAGTACAGAAGCACATCGTTCTCTCAGTTTTCCCCTCATTTTTCATAAAAAAAAAACAGGGAGTTGTTATCGAGCTAGATTAAGTGCTTTAATGTGCTCGGCTTCCCTCTGAATTTTCACGTGCATTTCAAACAAAACAAAGTCCTTTGTTATGCACCTGCATGTATACATACATATGTATAAACATACACACACGCTTACTTGAGTGAAGGGGATGATCGTAGAGTACAAAAGTGTTCCCTTCTCGTTAAAGAACTTGAGCGCGCTATGATATTCCGTAGTAGTACCCTGCGCGTTGGTACCCTTGTCTTCTTTAACCGTTCCCGCGATTGCCAGGATTTCCCTTGAATTACTCCACTCCATGCACAGCGGACCCTGCAGGTGCGTATCGATTTGAACCGGTGAGACGTCGTCAAATGTTTTCAGGAGATAGACGAATCCGTTCTGTAGACACACGGCCAGGACAAACTTCCGCTCCGCTGGAAATAACCACGTAAAAGTAACAAGAGGGAGAATAAAATGGGATAAGGAAGAGGAAGCGACTGATACGTAAAGGATCAATTGTCCATTTAAATACTCGTTTAACCATAAATCCTAAGACAATTCCTGTAGTTTAGTGAAATATTTACGGTTTACAATGTCCCTGAAAACTGCGATCCAAATGTAATGGTCAATTTGGTAACTGTACATGTTCATTTTTCTGTTTGAGGTATAATCATCATAAGGTCCTCAGTCCTAAGACTTTCCTATCCTGAGCTAAACTTCAAATTTCCCTAAAACTAGAACAGCCCACATCCTTAACTATTTGCGAACTGTAATCTAATCTGGGTCTACCTCTACCCCTCCTAACTCCTGTTTCTGCCTCTAATATGTCTCTGACTAGACCTTCATGCCTGAGAAGGTGTCCTACCAACCTATCTCGCCTATTTTTTATTGACTTCCATAGAGTCCTCTGTTCTCCTATTCTTTCCAATACCTCTTCATTTCTAACCTTTTCTACCCACGATATCCTCATCATCCGCCTATAACACCACATTTCGAACGCTTCTAACCTTTTCTTTTCCGCCGCTCCCACTGTCCATGTTTCGCACCCGTACAACGCCGTGCTCCAAACATACACCTTTAACAACCTTTTTCGAATTTCTAAATTAACCGTTCGCGAGCATAGAAGTGACTTCTTTTTATTAAAGGCGACACGACCCTGCGCTATCCTCTGCTTTATATCCCTACTACTCCTTCCATCCTGACTTATCTGACTTCCTAGGTATCTAAAATCAGCCACTTCTTCTAATTTTTCGTCTCCTATCTTTATATTCGCTCTTTCCCTACTTTTTCTTCCCTTGCATACCAGTATTTTAGTTTTACTTTTATTTATTTTCATACAGTACTGATCTGTCAGTACCGCTTCCATTTTATTTAAAGCTATCTCTAGGTCCCCCTTGCTAGATGCTAATAGTGCTATAAATAAAAATGAAAAAAAAAATTAAAAATTATTTCTATTAAAGCGGTATTGAGTTATCTATAAAAAGAAACTGGGTTTATGCGTGACCTACATTAAATAAATTATGAATTTCTATCGCCCAAATGCCAAGCTCAAAATTAGTAGCCCAGAATCAATAACAATCTCAAAAAGTAATGTACCTATACCATTAAATTTTTTTCGACGAACCCATTGAGCAAACTTGCAAGTAATGTTTCTAAATGTGAGCGCCAATTCTCATAGTTTTTGTTGCGAATTCTAACGAAAAAGAATCTCGACCGTTGACATCCATTCTTCAGATAATTAGTCAATTAGGAGATAAAAGTATTTTCAAAATGGATTCGATCGAATTGTGTTTTTGATGTCTTGTAATGCTGTCTACGTTTTATGCGGCAAGACAACATTCGGGTCGATAGTACGCCACAAAAATTTCTCTTGGCCTCTAAAAGTGAGATAGAATGAATTATTTAATGAATATTGAAAGGATTTCTTGCATGTACTGTGAACTGCTTTATATTTAAAATCATTGCAGTAGACAAATTTTCTCGGACCTTTCTTTTGGTTCGCGAGGAAAAAAAGGTTGGGAAACACTGGTCTAGATGATGGCCCCCACCACCGAAAGGGAGGGATCGAAAGAGGGGGTCTCCCCCACCACTGTACCATAAAAAGTTCGTGGCGGTCTCACCCCATAAGAAGTTATAGGGGTTCAAAATTAATAAGTGTGACAATTTTTATACGTTTCTAGGCATGTAAATATTTATACAGTCTTTCCTAAACAATATTCAAAGGTAAAACTAATGGAAAAATTATTTAAATATCTTTAGCAATAGGGCAGATTAGGTTAGGTTAGGTTAGGTTAGGTTGTCGGGTTTTGTTCAAGTGACCACCCTCTTTCGATCCTCCACCTCCACCCGCTCGAAAATAATTTTTTTATTGAATTGTATTGGAATTACAGTGTATGAAAATTGTCAAAATAATCAATTCTCATAACTTTTTATGGGGGTGAGACCGCCACGAACTTTTTATGGTACAGTGGTGGGGGAGACTTCCTCTTTCAATCCCACCCACTACACCCCCGAAGGGGGTGAGGGCTATAATCTAGACCTTTGCCAATATAAAAACCAGGAAATGCCTAGCAATCTATATCGACCGATCAGACAGAAGCTTATCAAATAAAGTGAATAAAGATGCAGTCAATAAAAAGTAATACAAAAATTACAAGTATTGTTTCTCATTGACTAGAAAGCAACCATATTTAGATTATAAATAAAACATTATATTAACTTCTGGAGAAATTTAGACGTCAGTCAACTAGCCCAAAAACTAGCAGCACATATGACAATGATCGCAAAAGCCATTCTCAATTTATCCTTATAAATGCTTAGTACCTTAGAATTTTACAATTTATGTAATCGTTATTGTTGTACGGTAAACATGCTAAATTGCTTATTTATCTATTTTAAACATTCCAACCAGTGTTTTTTTTTAAAGAGGCATTTTCTTACAGATAGGTAAAACATTCCGAGTGTACTAGCCACATTAAAATAATTTTCATTTACAGCTATACAAAAACGTTTTTACATCCAGATTTCTTTTGCCCTTTGGATATAATAATGTTTTATTATCGTACAAGTGTTATTAATTTATAAAATAGCTAATTTTCCTTGACATACATGGCTTGTACCTACAGGCACACATTCACGTTTGACTATTCAAACGTGAATTGTTGAACGTATTAATTGTTTGAACCATATAGAAGAGAAATGCATGTACCTTTTATAATTATTTTTGCAATATTTGTTACGTAAACAGTGGAATTTCGATGATACTAACAGTTTTTTCTTTATCTACAGGATGGAGATGCAGAACAAAACTCTCCCAGAGGAGAACCGGAAATCTTGGTTTGGATCAAAAACTAGTTATAGTTTGGACCAAAAGGAAAAAGGGTGAGTTGTTGATATCCACCAAACTTTTACTGCAAAAATTTTGTAGGCTTTTTCTAATTAGTTACGCATACATTATTTACAGTTACCGTGTCGTAGTAATCCTGTGCCTGTAATTTCAATAATAATTTAAAAAGTGAAAGGGAAACAATCGTGTATTGTTGTGAACGGTCAATTCAAGTCGCTACAATAAACTAACATGTAACCAATATATGCATGAAATAGTTAATCAACGTTATGACGTTGTTTAGTTAATTAGTTTTATTGGGACCGATTAATTAATTCTATCTTAAATGTTTCTGATAGCGCTTAAACTTTCGTAAATAAAGTACTCTAAAGGGTGGTTCACGCAACTCCATTTCAGGTCCGAGCCGTGTGCGCCGAGTGCGTATTACTGAGCGTAGGTTTGCATTCATGTAACATCGAGTGAAATATAATAAAAAGTCAGGATTTAACGTACAAACTGTCAGCTGCCATATCCACACTTCAGGTTTGAGGCACGGCCTGGCGTGATATATTTCATAAAAAAAGGGCAGTACAATTTGTCTCAGTGCTTTAGTCCATAGCCGGGCAAACTCGGCTCTTTTGACTCCCGAGTGCTCCTCAGGTATAGCCAACGAGCTCCTCATTGCTCCTGCGATTGCGAGCGAGATGATTCCTTCCTTTTCTTATCCCTTTCATTTCATAGGTGAGTCCCCTCTTCCATAGTCGAACCCAATAGCATTACGAACGTAGTCCGGCATGCTACCCCTGAGCTGCGGGACGATCATTAGAAAATTGTCGTAGATACTATTTGAGTTGCGAGAGAGGCTTCGCTCGTCTACGGGATGAAGGGGCTTGATATGGGCGTGGAAGGGAGAAGAAAAAGAGGAATCGATATGGGCCATTACTGCTTACTCTCTCGTACTCATTGAAGGGTATGCAGTGACCCAAACTAACCTCAGGTAGAGGCTCCTAAGAAGTTAAAGTTTGGCCGGCTCTAAAACGGTGTAGCGTGAACCATCCTTTATTATGTTACCGGAAAGCGGCGCTGGAATAGAAACTAACGTAATAATAGCATACAGAAAACGAGTGTAATTGATGTTGTTGCACATCTTCAATAAAATAAATTCAAGAGGGCTAATGATGATGATTCAATCGCATGTTCATGTACTGATGGCTAGTTTTCAACGTAACCATTCTGTGTAGTTAAGCTTTCCAATAGCCTCTTCATAAAATGTTGTTGCTAGACGTTGTCTTGAAGCTACTTCTGAGTAGGGATGCGGGAAGAGCGGGGAAAAGATAGATCGGAGAGCCATGAAAAGCAAGTTGTTCTGATTCATGGTCCATTAAAATTGTTCAGAGAACCTTTGGGTAGCTCCAGCGCTCCGACTACAGTTGTTGGTATCATGGATCAGAATAATTCTGGAAGGTCAGCACGGTTTTTGTTTTTGTTAGGTCTTCCGAACTAGCTCCGATTGATTTCTATCTTTTCCCTGTCTTTTTCGCTTCAAAACTGATAAGTGGGTGCTTCTAGACGAGGATTTGGGAAAGTTTGTCTATAGGTACCACAAATACCTCAGTAGTCAGAATGATTGTGTCGAGGACTAACCATAAGTATATCACTATTAGTGATAAAATAATTTGTTTATACTCACTTGACTTTTATTTATGCTGCAGAGGAAAATAATCAAAAGAGAGTCAATATCATCAAAATATCGTTATCAATGGGGTTAATGCATCATCATTTTCTTACTTAAGAAATGAATTAGAGTACCCATAACTTATAATATGGAGCAAATCAGACAAGGTCGTTTTACACTTGACAGAAATTTTTAAAGTGCTTAGCTACCTACGTATTTGTTGATAGTAATCAACAACAGGGCGAAATAACATACAACATACACAATATTTGTGTTTATTGAAACGAATTTTTTAAAATCAATATTGCTTGTATGTTACGTGTAAATAATTGATTCAGTTAATTGGTTTTTATATGTTTTTTTTTTTATTAAACTTAAATACACGTTTCTGGTTTTTATGCATTTCTTGGAAATTACCAGTTGAAATGGAATAT